CTCACGCCTTTAATCCCAGCATTCGGGAGGCAGAGGCAGGCAGATCTCTGTGAGTTCGAGACCAGCCTGGTCTACAAGAGCTAGTTCCAGGACAGGCTCCAAAACCACAGAGAAACCCTGTCTCGAAAAACCAAAAAAACAAACAAAAAACAAAAACTTTTCATAGGGCTGGAGAGATGGCTCAGTGGTTAAGAGCACTGGCTGTTCTTCCAAAGGTCCTGAGTTCAATTCCCAGCAACCATATGGTGGCTCACAACCATCTGGAATGAGATTTGGCGCCCTCTTCTGGCATGCGGGCATACATGGAGGCAGAATGTTGTATACATAATAAATAAATCTTTAAAAAAAAAAAACTTTTCATAAGAAAAAGACAGGTTGGCTCCTAGCAGCAGCACTTTACTTCCTCCAAAGAAGACAAAAGACAAATGGGCACAAAACAATGTCCATCCACAATTTGCTTCAACTGCCAAGTGGTGACCACTGAATAAAACTGTTTTTCATCTAAACTGAACATCTCCAGACAGTAGACAGAATAGCTAGAATTGACAGCCTAGCTGCTCTGGTGAAGATAGGCTTGTCTTCCTACTGATTTCCTAGCCCATAGGATCTTCTGGAGCCTGGCAGGCCCTGCACTAAACAGCAAAAGAAAAATACGACCCTTGGTGACCATGGAGAACCGTGAGGAGTAGCTCTAGGTGCCAACCAAATAAGTTCTCTGTAGTTTTTAAATCAATAACTCAAGTAAATTTTATCCTTCTCAAAGACCTCTGATGCAGTTTGAGAGCTGAGAGGTTTTGTCAGTTTAAAGAACAACTTTACCAAACAAATTTAAGCAAAATACAAATACAAGTTATTAAGGCATGTACCTGCAAGTTATAAAGGTGTGAGGACAAGTACATGCTATCAAATTTCTCTCTCACGCTGTTTTTTATAGTCTTAAAGATACTTTTCATTATGCAAAAAATATTTGTCACAGTCATTCTGCTATAAATATGCTGCTCTTTAAATTTTCACAAGCCCAAAGAATTCTTGTGAGTTCCAGGGAGCCGAATTGAAGGACCCACCTAAACAGGTCAGATACACCCCTCCCAATTCCCTGGTCCTAATTTTTTTTTCTAAATGTAACTTTGTCCTCTGTTCTGCCAATACCTTAAACAGGTCTAAGAGACACCAGGTATTTCCAAATCACAAACACTGGACAGGAACAAAGAGACCAACAAGTCCAGGATGTGACCAGCACCCAGCTTTCTCAGGTTCCCCCCAAGACGACACCCACAAATAACAGGAAGCAGTCTTGAGAATCTACTCCGCCATCCCAATTCCTTTAATCTTTTGTGCCTAGCTGTCCGCCTTTTTTTTTTTTTCCGACACAGTGTTTCTCTGTAGCTTTTGGTTCCTGTCCTGGAACGAGCTCTTGTAGACAAGGCTGGTCTCGAACTCACAGAGATCCGCCTGCTTCTGCCTCTCGAGTGCTGGGTGTGCACCACCACGGCCTGGCTCTCCCGCCTTTTTATTATAAAAAAATAGATGGGAATGTAATGGTCTGTTCTGTCCCTTTAAGAGAAAAGCACTGTCCACTACCTCTCCAAGTCTACCACTGACGCAGGTGGACCTTTCTTCGGCTTGCAGTCTGAGCTCCTTTCTTTTCCATCTCTCTTCCAAAGAGGTAGCTGCTGCTGTAACTCCTCTCACCCCTCTCTGTTTCTCTTTCTCTCTCTCTGCCCCTCTGCTCGTCTCTCTTCTCCCCTTTTTGCTTTTCCCTACATAACCTACTGAATAAATATCCAACCTCACTCTGCAGGGTGTCCCTATCAGTCTGTCTCTCACTTGCCTTGGCTGCAGCTCCTGGTGAGACAAGTCTCTCATCTGCTGCGTGGCTCCCTGCCTGGCATTCTATGCCGCTCATGGCCTACAGGTCACTTGGGGAACAGGGCTGTTTTACTTTTGCCATAACACAGTGTAAGGCAAGCAGGTGCAAAGGCCTCTTAAGAAACAAGCTCCTCCCACTCCTGATCTATGTCTTCCCACTATGCAAGCAGCACTCCTTCTCTCTCTCCCTCTTCTCTCCTCTCTCATCTCTCCCTCCCTCCCTCCCTACTTCCCTTCCTCTCTCTGTGTCTCTCCCTTCCCTTCCCCAGTACCTTCTTCTCAATAAACTCCACAGTCAAGCTCTCTCTGCATGCCATATTCTGTCACCCGCTGATATCCCCAACCCACTATGGGACACTACAAATGTCCCTCTTGCACTGTATTTTGCAATCAGTTCTTCTACCATGTGGATCGCAGAACCAAATTTGGGTCATCAGCCATGGAGGCAAGCATCTTTACTTGCTGAGCCATTTCACAGGCCCTTGGAAGGCCTGGAAGGCTCTTTGCTCTCTATCTCTCCTCTCTGTCTGTCTGTCTGTCTCTCTCTCTCTCTCCAGGGTCTATAGACCTGGCTGCCTTGAAACTTAATTTATAGACCACACTGGCCTTGAACTCACAGAGCTCCAACTGCTTATGCTTCCAAGATTATAGCTGTGTGCCAGCACACCAGGCTGGATCTCTTTGTCCTCACAACCATTGCCATGTTGTGAGGACACTCAGCAGCCAGAAGCAAAGGCCACCATAATGAAGAACTGAGGCTTCCTGTACCATTCATTGCCTGTACTGTCTTCCAAGGCCTTGGAGAGAGTCACATGGCCATGTGGGGAGTGATATTCAGCCCAGCCTTCAGAGGACAGTAGTCTGGCTGGTATCTTTGCCTGGAAAACCTCACAAAAGATCCCGAGTCAGAGCTGGGTATGGTGATGCACACTGTATTCCCAGCATTTAGGAGCCGAAGGCAGGAGGATTGGGAAGCCAGCCTGGGCTACAAAACAAGAGACAAAAAAATGGGGAGATGAAAAGATGGCTCAGAGGTTAAGAGCACTGACTGCTCTCCCCGAGGACTCAAACTCAATTCCCAGCATCCACATGGCAGCTAATAAATGTCTCTCACAAGATCTGGCACCCTCACACAGACATATATACAGGCAAAATACCAATGCAAATGAAATAACAGTAAATTAGTTTTTGAAAAGGAAGAAACTGAGTGCTCAGAGAAGTTCTTGTCAGATTTCTGACCCATAAACACTAAGGTACAGAAATTCTTACTAGCCAGATGTAATCCCACAGGCTCGTAATCCCAGCATTCTGGAAGCTGAGGCCATAGGATCAAGGGTTTGAGGTCAGCGCCTGGGATACATAGTGAGTTCAAGGCCTAGCCTGAGCTACATAGTGAGAGCTTTACTGTCTCTCACTACATTTTAGGGATGGTTTTTATTATAGAAATAGATACCTAATACAGACAAACAGATTTAACAGTGTTTGCAGTGAAATCTGCAAAAGCTTTTGCATGGCCCCTGACTGCCCATTCTTAGCAGCTAGTATGAGGGTGTCAGGGTCATAGACATGGAGGAACGGCCAGCACAAGGCAGAAAGGGGGCACTGAGGAAGGGGCCCTTGGGATTGGGAGAGGGTGGATTCTGCCACCGATATGAACTGCTAAACCTTGTACAAATACTTGAAGGACATGTGTCTTCAGTAAATCAGTGATTTGGTGAATTGTCATTCATCAAGCCGGTCATTTGGTCCACTGACTTTTGGCCAGCATGGACCTGACAAAGTAAGTGACAGTGAATCAGTGTGCTCCTAACCAAGGGATACATTTAATTTTATGTCCCTAGGGAGCAAGTAGTGGGTTATTTGTAAAAGACACTCACGGTTTTATGCATCGTTCCTTTTTATTTTTCTTTTATTCTTTTTTTTCTTTATTTTTATTTTTGAGACAGGGTTTCACTGTGTAGCCATGGCTGTCCTAGAACTCACTAAGCGAGCCAGTTTGACTTCAAACTCACAAAGATCCACTCACCTGCCTCTGCCTCCTGAGTGCTAGGATTAAAAGCATATATCACTTTTTTTTTTTTAACAGTACTAGGTAACAAGGCACCACTGAGTCACACCTCCCTTCCACAGTGTGCGGTGGAGGTCAAAGAACAACTTGTTGGAGACAGCTCTGTCCTTCCGTGTGGACACTGGGGATGGAACTCAGGCTGACAAGCTTGGTGGCATGTGTCCTTACCTACGGAGCCAACCACCAGCCCTGTTTTCTGTTGTGTTTGTTGTTCTGAGAGGGTCTCACGGTTTCACTCAGGAGGCTGGCCTCACGCTGTACAGCCTCTCCTGTCTCTACCCTAGGGACAGGACTCATTGGATTTTCTTCTCTCTATAAACTGCTGGTTGTGATAAGTCCTCCCTTGTCGACATTTCCTGGAACAGCAATCTTTCCGAGAGGAAAGTGACATTTTTCTCTTCAAAGCAGTTATAAATGGAGATAAATTCTTTGGAGAAGTCCTTTCTTGATTCTGATTTTCGCGTTCTTAAATGGAAGGTCATTGAACGAAATTTTTCAACTTCAGTGCCATAAAAGGACTGAAAAGTAGTGAGCTTTACGTGTTGGCACCTCCCTTGCTTGCTTTTTAATCCTTCTGAGTGAAGAGGTTCAGGGACAGGAGCCAGAACTCCAGGAGCTGGCTAAGAAGGTCCTGACCACAGCCCTGCTTTTTCCCCCACACACGGGCATCCACCATGTAGACTTTACAAGGAACCTTACACCCTACCCTACACTTGAGGAAACTGCATTAACATTAAGACACCGGGGCAGGGAACATCGCGAACTGCAACACCACTCAAAACGACTTGACTGTGATCAATGCTACAATCCCAGTAGGATACAGCATCAGAAGGCTACTAAGGCTTCACTGCTACTAAGAGAGGCAATGAGTGGTAACAGTATCACAATGTACAAAAAGGTATTTTAGTTTTGTAGGTAAGAAGTTATTTATACAAAATGAAGAAAGCTATGCAACAAACCATACCAAAGAACGTATACAAGGTGTTCCGTTGTCATTGATAAGACCAGAAGGAGATAAAACAAAGATGGAAAAACAAATACTTTTTTTAAACAAAGTGTAATAGCCCTGTATAAACAGGACCTCAAAAATTAGGTTAAGACTCAGAGTTGTTCCTCTCCACGGAAATCTTTAGTAAAAGGCGAAAGATTTATACGATCTGAAGAGAAACCAGAGTATGCAAACGTTCACCCGCCTACCCTTCTCGGTCGACTACAGCTCCTAGATAACCGATGGGCGCTAGCTCCACGAAGTAAGTGATGACGCCTGCTTTCCTCTCACGTACGTCTCCAAAACGCACATAACTAGGAAGAAAAGAAAGCGAGAAAGAGAAGATAAAAGCGCTTACACGTTTAAATTTCGCACTAACCTGCGTGCAGTGCATTGTGGGTATGTAAATAACACTGGTTCACCAACCTCGGGTGTCCGGAAATGGAGATTTCATTTTCCCGGAGTAAATGTTGGGCCGACGCCAGGGGGCAGCGCAGAAACCAGATTCATAGGACTCTAAACGCCTGGCCCCGCTATAAAAATCTGGTTTTATAATTTACATCAAGTAACAGTTCTTTTTCTTTTTTTCGGGGGGAGATATTTTGATTTTGCTTCTTGAAATTTTGAGACGGTGTCTCGAACGCCCCCCAGGCTGGTCTTGAACTCAGTTTCGCCTGGGAAGATGAGCACAATTCTCTTTGCCTCGGGCTCAACGAGGCAGCCATTAGGGAGTCTCGTGTATCCCAGGCTAGCAACTTGCCTCATCACCCGGGACGATCTTGAACTCCTGATCTCCTGCCTACTACTAAACGTTGTAATGACAGGCATGTGCCTCACATCAAGCTTAAAAGTTCTCTTAATTAAAAATAAAATAAACAGCCTTCTGATGGCACATGTCTTTAATCCCAGTACTCGGGAAGCAGAGGTAGGTTGATCTCGGTGAGTTCGAGGCCAGCCTGCTCTAAAGAGTGAGTTCCAGGAGAGGATCAAAGCGACAGAGAAATCCTGTCTCAAAAAAAAGGAAAAAGGAAATTCCAGTTGCTAACCTATAAAATGAAGGTGACAATGACAATGTCTGCCTCAGTTGGGAGGATATAGCCACAAAGCTCTTCTGAACTGATTCCAGAGGGACAGACCATGCGTTGAGGGTTGGGAATGTGGGTGAATAGGATGCTCTCTCTCATGGAATTTCATAGGGTAACACAGGAAGGCCTGGTGTGATGGTGCGTACCTTTTCTCAGTGCTCAGAAGGCAGGGGCAGGCAGATATGTATGGGCTTGAGGCTAGCCTGCTTCACATAGTGAGTTCTAGGCTAGCCAGGTCTACATAGTGAGAGTCTGTCAAAACTATACACACACACACACACACACACACACACACATAAGTCTTTTTCCTTTAAAGAATACTTGTGCCTTGCAGTGGTGTTGCACACCTTTAATCCCAGCACTTGGGAAGCAGAGATCTCTGTGAGTTCCAGGTCAGCCTGATAAGTACAGTGAATTCCAGGACAGTTTGAGCTGCATAGTGAGATCAAAAAAATTGTGTGTGTGTGTGTGTGTGTGTGTGTGTGTGTGTAGGGAGGAAGCGCCTGAGTGTCATGGTGCACATGTGTCCCCTGTGAAGATTTCAGGACAACCGCGGGGAGCTGTTTCTGCCCTTCTGCCTTATTGAAATAGGGTCTTTATTTCCATTGACGTAGTCCTCCATGCTTGGTAGTTTGGGAGCCTCTGGGTGAGTCTCCTGTCTTCATCTTCCATCTTGATTTAGGAATGCTGGAATTATAGATCTTCTGCCTGCCCACACAGAGTCTGTGGCCAACCTGTATTAAATAGTGAGACCCTTTATCAAAGAGAGAAAGTGGGACAACGGTAGCACCCACCTTTAATTCCAGTATTCAGAGGCAGAGGTAGGTGGATCTGGGGTTGAGGAACAGCCAGGTCTACAAAGCAAGTTCCAGGACAGCCAGGACACTCTGGAGAGAAAGAGAAAGAGAAAGAGAGAGGGGGGGGGGGGGAGAGAGAGAGAGAACTAGTATGTGTGAGATCTGTATAAGTGGGGAGGAGATGAAGACGGCTTCATCAAAGGCTTCACATGTTACTGTATTACTCCACTGAGCCACTTCTCCGTCTCTAAAGCCTCTTTTAAGATCTTACTCAGAGCCGGGCGGTGGTGGCGCACGCCTTTAATCCCAGCACTCGGGAGGCAGAGGCAGGCGGATCTCTGTGAGTTCGAGACCAGCCTGGTCTACAAGAGCTAGTTCCAGGACAGGCTCCAAAACCACAGAGAAACCCTGTCTCGAAAAACCAACCAAACAAAAAAAAAAAAAAAAAAAAAAAAAAAAAGATCTTACTCCAATCAAATAGAGTAAGATCCACACTCCCCGCTCTACTCATGCCCGTGCCTTTCTGTTTTCACACTCCTGTTCTTTGTCCTAGGATGCTCGGTGTGACTATATGTAAGAGACTTGGGATGTATTGAGTCTGGGCTCTTGTGTTTATGCTCTGTGTAGTTTGAGACTTGAGCACAAGGTAGGAGCGTGGCAATCATTGCAAGGAGTGTCCTCAGGACAGTGGTTAGTGCAGTCCTTGCCAGCTTGTGCGAACAGCGATGCTGTCCTCATCTGACCAATGCGGCTTGATTTCTACCCCTTGGTGTGAATGACTTTCTTTCCCATTAGAATAGGAATTCACAGAAAGGTGCAATATTGAGTTTCTCTTTAGTTACCAGCTCTTGCATGCCCTGGCTTACTCGTTCCTGCACGTTTGAGTAAGGCTGTTAATAATCCACACAATAGAATCAGAAGGAACATTGCCAAACTCTTTTTATGAGACTACAATTACCCTGATACCCAAACCACAGAAAGACAATATTAAGAAAGAGTATTACAGACCAATCTCACTCATGAACATTGATGTAAAAATACTAAATAAAATACTGGCAAATTGAATCCAAGAACACATCAGAACCATCATCCACCATGACCAAGTCGGCTTTATCCCACAGATGCAGGGATGGTTCAACATACGAAATCTGTCAAAGTAATCCACCATATAAACAAACTGAAAAATAAAAACCACTTGATCATCTCGTTAGATGCCGAAGAAGCTTTCGACAAAATACAACATCCCTTCATGATAAAGGTCTTGGAGAGAGCAGGGATACAAGGAACACACCTAAACATAATAAAGGCAATATACATCTGGAACAACCCCTTTGAATGTCAGTGTGTTGATTTTTCAGAAAATTAGGAAACAACCTTTCTCAAGACCCAGCAATACCACTTTGGGGGTATATATCCAAAGGATGCTCAATCATGCCAAAAGGACATGTGCTCAACTATGTTCATAGCAGCTTTGTTTGACATAGCCAGAAACTGGAAACAACCTAAATGTCCCTCAATTGAAGAATGGATAGAGAAAATGAGGGAGAGGCAGGCAGATATCTGTGAGTTCAAGGCCAGCCTCATCTACAAGAGCTAGTTCCAGGACAAGAACCAAAAAGCTATGGAGAAACCCTCTCTTGAAAATCCAAAATACAAAGAAATAAAATAAATAAATAAATAAATAAATAAATAAATAAAAAGGGGGCTATTGGATGGGATAATGGACTAATGTGAGCTTAGTCCCACTATAGTAATAGTTTGTAGTAGAGTGAATACTCGTTAGTTATTATTTATAGGCAATTACATTGGTATAGATGCTTGTATATTGATACAAAGTTAAATTATATTGAATATTATATGAATACATGCTTCTAGCTCTGCTTAAAACATTTTTATATATTGATATATATTTATCATGTTGCAATGTACATTTCTACCTCTGATCAAGATACTTCTACATTGTTTGCAGTTTGAGGTGATTGTCCTCACTTGTTGTACATTTGTTTATTGTATAATATTCTAATATGAAGTCTTAGTCTTTTTAAGTTATATAGGTATTAAGAATTATAGATCAATAGTCATCTATGTTTGTCATACTTAAAGTTAGACTAATCAGGTTCTTTAGATACATAGAGATTGTATTCTGCATAGATAGGTAATCTTCAACCACTTCAAAGAGCTATAGAGTATGGCATTTAAATAACTTAGATTTCTGGCAGCAGCAATCTATTCCCGAGAGAATGTTGAGCACTTTAGACACTCCATTTGCAGCTTGTTTTCTTCTTGGAAAACTGGCCTTTAGACAAAGAAGTGTCCATGCCTTAACCACTGACAGGATACACAGTATCTGGAAATGGATAAGCAGGACTGTCAAATCTTGCCAAGACAGGGTAAGACAGTTTTGAAAATTTTCCTACCTCTGAAAATGGTCTGTCAGTTATTCTAGACCTTAACCAAAGTTGGTTGCGTCATCGTTGCAAATGAGACTTTGGGTGATTGCCCAGTGTCAAGTTGGGAGCATAGGCCCCAGTCCCTCGCATCTATTCCAGCCCCCAGGCCTGGTCTGGACTCCAAATCCCAGCTGGCCAGGTTCTGACCTCTCCCTGGGGGTGGTGTCAGGATCGCTCCTCAGGGTATTTAAGTAATCCCTCAAAAGAGGAACACAGTGGTCTCCCTTTCTTCCTCCCCAGGGGTAGCGGTCCTGGAGCTTCCCGGTTCCCCCTCGGGGCACCCGAGAGGGCAGATCTCCTGGATATTTCTTTTTTTTTTTTTTTTTTAAATATTTATTTATTTATTATGTATACAATATTCTGTCTGTATGCCTGAAGGCCAGAAGAGGGCGCCAGACCTCTTTACAGATGGTTGTGAGCCACCATGTGGTTGCTGGGAATTGAACTCAGGACCTTTGGAAGAGCAGGCAATGCTCTTAACCACTGAGCCATCTCTCCAGCCCCTCCTGGATATTTCTTAATTCGGCTTGTTTTGATTTGGCTTGATTGGGAATTTTGTGTCGGTAGGGAGCTAATATTAAGAAATATTCCTAACACCCTGGTAACCAGTTGTCTCTGTCATTTGTTGCACATTTTGGAAGTTGCTTGATTGCACTTCCTGCTCACTCAAGTAATACTATTTCCCTTCCCTGAGCTTCGATGGGTTGAAGACCAGAGAGTTGTAGTTACTTTCATCTCATGACTTGGCCAAGTTATTTATTTATACCAGACTTACACTTGATGGGATAATTATTGAATATATTTGTTCTTATTGTATATAATTTTGTATTAGGCTTAGAACTCTCTTACTTAAACAA